AGAGAGAGAGAGAGAGAGAGAGAGAGAGAGAACCAAAGAGGAGGGGGGGGAAGAAAGCAGAGAGCAGAGACTGGGGCAGGGAGTCCGGAGCAGGGGTGAATGGGGAGCAGGCCCTTGTACCTGTGTTGATATTCACAGCAAAGGCGTCCTCCTGGTCAGGCACCAGGCGGTCCGTGTCGTCCTTGGCCACAATGCTGACGATGTGGTACTCCAGCTTTGGGTTGAGGTCACGGTCGATGGCCGTGACATTGGCAATGACGGTGCCTGGCTCGGCTGACTCCAGCACGCTCACGGTCTGGATGGGGTTGAGGAACTCGGGGCGGCAGTCGTTAATGTCATCGATAAGGATGGTGATGATGGCCGTGCCAGAGAGAGGAACGGTGCCCCGGTCAGAGGCCACCACGGTCAGCCTGTAGGACTCCTGCTCCTCCCTGTCAATGGTGACATTGCCCACGCGGATGACCCCCGTGGCCGGGTGGATGAGGAAGCGGTCCTGAGCCCCCGCTTCAATTCGGTAGACCAGCTCCCCGTTGAGGCCACTGTCCTCATCTGTGGCTGTGACCTGAAGGACAGAGAATCCTGGGGGGAAAGTGGGGAGGAGCTGAGCACAGTGGCTTCTCCTAAAAACATCACAATAACATGCACTTGTTGGCAGTTCACAGGGGACCCTCTCACCACAGCCTGGCAGCATGTATCTTTTATAGACTTTCCATGTTTGCAATTTTGTAGGAAAACAGTACCTTATTTCATTTTACATTCTTTGATTATTTGTGAGCTTGAACATTTTTAATAATTTAATGATCAGTTGTATCTTCTGCAAATTGTATGTTTTTGTCTTCTGCCTATTTTTCTATCAATTTATACAAATTATGTAATTATGATAACTTGGGACAAATATCTTTTTTCAGTCTGTTGTTTGCCTTTCCAGTATTGGTTATAATTATTTGAAGTAAAGAAGTGTAAATGTATAAACACCAAAATTTAGTATTTTCCCCTTTTTAAGTTCTGTTTCTTATATGCTTAGAACTTTCTTATCCTGAGGTCAGATAAATATTCACCTAAAGCTTTTCTTTTACTTTTTATTGTGGTCTACTTTTAAATTTTTTCTTCAGAATGTCTTTGGACTTCACTTTGGTGTCTTATATTGGGTAGGAATCTACACTAAACATTAATAGATGTTTTGCACACTAATTAGTTTTCACTAATGTTTCACTGTATCACATTAATATTATTCTTTAATTTACTGGTATCTGTTTCAGGGCTACTTTTACCCAGATAGTTTAGCTCATATCATATGGTTTTAAATACTGCAGTTCTATAATATGCTTTAATATCAGGGAAGGCAAATCTGGTTTTATTATACTTTCCCCCCCCCCCCGCAAAATGTTCTCATTCTTCCAGATGACTTTCAGAATAAAATTTACCCCCAAGATCTTATTTGATTTTGATGGGCATCTCATTAATTCTATTTTGACTTTAAAATAGTCTTTTCAACCAGGAACATTTCTTAATAATAATCTCATTTTGCAGACCAGACACTATGGATCAGACACAGGAAGCGAGGGGGGGCTTGGATCTCCTGACTCCCTCTCCAGGGCTCTCTCCACCCACCCTGCTGCCTGTCCTCCTCCCGCTGGGAGTGGATTCTGTTCCAACCTGTGAGGCTTCAATCCCCACGGACCACCCACAGCTCCTGCCTGGGGCCGGCCTGCTCCCTGCACCTGCTCACCTGGGGGGCAGTTCTCCAGCAGGTGGATGGTGAGGGCAGCAGGGCTAAAGGTGGGCCAGTTGTCGTTGTCATCCAGGATGGTGACCATCAGGTCAGCTGTGCCGTTGAGCAGCCCAATGTCCTCAGCCAGCAGCAGCAGCTCCAAGACGGGAGGTGAGAAGGCCTCCCGGTCAATGACCACACCGGACCTCACTGTCACCACGCCTGACGCCCAGGGCCCCCAGCCAGGGAGACGCAGAGGAAAGGGGTGCAGGGGAAAGAGGGCAAGAGCCGGCCAGGAGGGTCGTGGGAAGACCAGCACAATGCGGGAAGAGAGAAAAGAGGAGCAGAGAAAGCAACAGATGACTTTCTTCCCCAAAGGCTCAACGACCAAAGCTTAGGGAGGTCCCCTCGGCGCCAATCTCCTGGGATTGTCCCCTCCCAGGTGCCCTCGGCCGGTCTCAGAGTCCTGCCTGAGATGGGTGACCCGAGGTGAGGGATTGACCTGCTCGGCTGAGAGAGGCGCTAGTATGTCCCTCCTTGGTGTCACCTTCCCCCAACTGGTCTACTGTCTAGGACCAGACTGATGTGACGTGGTCTCTGGCGACCTTTGGGGGTGCTTTGGGGACAGAGCTTTGGCTGCTTCTGGCTGACTAGGGGCCTGCCTCTGGCTGGGCACAGGGAGATGGAGGAGTGGGTTGGGGGCTCTCTGTCTAGGCTGAGAGTTTATGTATTAGCAGGTCCCTTGTGTTGTCCCCAGGCCTCCTCCGGGGTCATCTCACCTGGCCCCAGGTGCCCTAACCCAGCTTGGCAGGGGAGGCCCTAGACCCAGCCCCGGCCCCCTCCTGCCCCAGCTGGGAGAGGTGGGCAGGCGGGAGTGCTGGGTGTGCAGAGGCCTCACCCGTACTGTTGTCGATGTCAAAGAGGCCGCTCTGGGCACCCAGCAGCTGGTAGGTCACCACGGCATAGATGTCCAGGTCCGCATCCAGGGCCAGGATGGGCCCGTTGAGCACCGTGAGGGGGGTCCCTGGACCAGGGGGAGAGGGGTCACTGCAGGGCCAACCCGGCCCCCCGCCCCCGCCCCCGCCCCTTCCCGGTGAGCCATGGCTGACAATGGATGAGAGGGAGGTGAGGTGGACGGGGTGGGGAGGCCCTGGGCCGGCTGCGGCAGCCTTGGCAGACTGACGCAGATGCCGGGGAGCGGCCTCAAAGCCCTGCTGGGGAGAAAACACAACAGTGGTGAGCAAGCGCCTCAGGGCCCCCACGGAGCACGCCTGCCTTCCCAGCAGCCTTTGAGGCTGGCTACTCCGAGGGAGGGTCTGGGGGCTCCCTGACATCCTCTCCCTGTGCATGGGCCCTATCGAGGGATGCATACTCCTCCCAGTCTGTCCACGTGTGTCCACAGTGCTTTATACAGGTGTCTGACCATACATGACTGGGAATGCATGTGTGTGTGCAGGGCTCTGTTCACATGGCCATGGGGGCACGTGCAGGCCTGGGCGCCCTGGCTGTGTGCCTGCCTGCCTCTGCAGGTGGGCACATCCGCACACGGAGTGCACTGTATAGGCACCCACATGCCTATGTGTGTCTGTGCATGTGTGTAAGCCCACATATATGCTTGATGTGAACATGTATTAGCACATGTATGAGCATATTCACAGGCAGGACTAAGAAACAAGTTCACGTAGGGGGGCACCCAGCCAGAGACAGGGAGCTTCTCAGTTCATCTTTTTCTGACTTGGAATCTGAGCTTGGGGGCTGGGGGAAGAGGGAGAGGACCTCCTGGGGGACAGGAAAAAGGAGATTCTGTCACTCTGAAGGGAGGTGAGACTGCTCAGTGCCTGTGTGTGGGGAAGAGCTCTGCTGGCCTACACAGGCCCTGATTACAGATGCTCCTGAAGCTTCCAGAAGCCTCCAGGATGCTTGGTGCTCCTGGCGTGGAGGGAGCAGGGAGGGTGGGCTTGCTCCCATCCTGGGTGGTCCTCACACCTCACTGTCCCTCTTGAGGAGCATTGGGGCTGCTCTCAGACCACTTTGAGGACCAATGATCACTTCCAACTACACCTGTGGCCTCTTTGGTGGCCCCTGAGAGAACTGGCAGCCCGGGCCCACCAGCCCCTGGGAGCTGCTTCCCTCCCTCCCGTCCACACCTTTGGCACCCGCCAGCTCTGTGGTGAGGCTGCCACCCCAGCCAGGCCTCAGCTGGGCCCACCTCCGGTAGGAGGTGGATCCACAGGCCTCTGGGACCAGGTGGTGCCTGGCAGCAGCAGGAGTTCCCGGGTGGGCCCAGCACCTACCAGCAGGAGAGTTCTCCATCACCTCTGCCTGGTAGGTGCTCTCCGTGAAGAGGGGGTGGTTGTCATTCTCGTCCGCAAGGAAGATCAGCAGCAAGTCAAAATCCTGTGGGAGGCGTGATGGGGGGCAGGCTGTAGGCACGTCCTAGCAAAGTGCTCCGAAGGCCGAGAGATGTGGGGTCAGGGCACAGGGTGGGGAATAAAGAAGCCCATCCTGGGGGTCTAGAGACCTGGGTTCAAGTCCCTGCTGTGCTAGCAGCTCTTTGCACGGCCTTAAGCAAATCATTTCCCCTCGCTGGGCCTCAGTTTTCCAATCTGGCAAATGGGATCTTAACTCCTTCACAGAGGCGCTGTGACGTTCACAGCAGGAGGGGTGAGCATGGCATTTAATCAGGTCCATCTCTTGGCAAGAAAGACTGCAGGCAGCAAGATGAGTGGTGGCTTTCAGACCTCCTAGGCCAGCCTGATGCCCTATCAGAGTTCAGCCAAACTCGCACCAGGGCTGCACTTCATGTTTTTAAAAAACCAGTCATAGTTCTGATCTCTCGGAACCTCCACTGCGGAGGCAAGAAAACCGAGGCCCAGAGGTGAATGAACTGCACGGCAATTAGCAGCAGAGTGGGACCAGCCCCAAGCCTCCTGACTCCCACCACTCAATGCCGCTGCTTCCCAGCGTGGCCCAGAAATCCTGTGGGAGGCGTGATGGGGGCAGGCTGTAGGCACGTCCTAGCAAAGTGCTCCGAAGGCTGAGAAATGTGGGGTCAGGGCACAGGGTGGGGAATAAAGAAGCCCATCCTGGGGGTCTAGAGACCTGGGTTCAAGTCCCTGCTGTGCTAGCAGCTCTTTGCACGGCCTTAAGCAAATCATTTCCCCTCGCTGGGCCTCAGTTTTCCAATCTGGCAAATGGGATCTTAACTCCTTCACAGAGGCGCTGTGACGTTCACAGCAGGAGGGGTGAGCATGGCATTTAATCAGGTCCATCTCTTGGCAAGAAAGACTGCAGGCAGCAAGATGAGTGGTGGCTTTCAGACCTCCTAGGCCAGCCTGATGCCCTATCAGAGTTCAGCCAAACTCGCACCAGGGCTGCACTTCATGTTTTTAAAAAACCAGTCATAGTTCTGATCTCTCGGAACCTCCACTGCGGAGGCAAGAAAACCGAGGCCCAGAGGTGAATGAACTGCACGGCAATTAGCAGCAGAGTGGGACCAGCCCCAAGCCTCCTGACTCCCACCACTCAATGCCGCTGCTTCCCAGCGTGGCCCAGGCCCTCCACAGCACAGGCAGAGGCGGGGAGTGAGAGCAGGAGAGGAAAGAAGGGGAGAGGAAGTGGGAGAAGGAGAGAGAGGAGCACAGAATGAGAGAGGCCAGTGACTTACAAGTCTCCTCGGCCTATACAGATGGGGAAACTGAGGCCCAGAAAGGGTAGTGTCTTGGCTGAACCATGCAACTAGTCAGAAGCAGAGCTGGGCTAAGCCAGACCCAATGGCTCTTGGTCAAGGCCCTGCCCCAGACCTCATGGCTGAACCTACCCCCAAAGGGACCGTTTGCTTGCAACACCCACCTCCTCTTAGTACAGAGAAACCATTTCTTTGGCTTTTGAGGGAAAAGCCACCCTTTCAGGGGAAATGCAACCTTGCCAGCACCCCAGAGCTGTGTCTGTGAGTGCACGCAGGCCACATGCACACACAACGGTGGTGTGTGCCCAAGTGTCAGTGGTTTGAGGGGAGATGATGGCTGAGTTCCCGGAGTGTTTGCCATGTGCCAGGCACCAGGCTGAGCACTTTGCAGGTACTGGCTCCTTTGAGTCCTCTCCACAACCTTGGGGACATCATTTTGCAGAAGAAAAAGAGAAACTGCCTGGCCAAAGTCACACGCCCGCTGACAGGCAGGCCTGGGATTTGAACCCAGCACTTGCTCACTCCAAGGCCTGTGCATCCAACCCCCTGGCCAGGTCGCCTGTACGTTTCAGGCGCCCGGCTGCTCCCCCCACCTCATCATGCCCTCCAGCCTCACCCTCCTGGCTATGCGCGGGTTCTCCGGGTTGTCCTTCACGGAAATGGTGAGCTTGTACTCTGGGATCCGCTCGCGGTCCAGGGGCCGGTTCACGGTGACGATCCCTGACTGGGAAGGCGAGGGCTGGTGAGCTCAGTAGCGACCTGTTCCCCACTTTGAGCTCTGGCCACAGATGCCCAACTGCTCTGCCTGCGCTTGAAGTGCCTGTGAATTCTCTCTAAGTCACCGCAGACATGGTCTCTAAGAGCGCCCCCCAGCGCCCAGGTGCTGCTATCTCAAGGGGATGGGGCCTCTGAGGACCCTGTGATGCCAGCAGCTGGTAACACCTCCTTAAGTCACCGCAGACATGGTCTCTAAGGCCGAAATGGGCCGGCAGGGTCTCGCCAGGGCAAGAGCAACCCCCCAGCGCCCAGGTGCTGCTGTCTCAAGGGGATGAGGCCTCTGAGGACCCTGTGATGCCAGCAGCTGGTAACACTCCAAGATGTCAAATGAGCCCAGTGGTACTGAGGCTCTGGCCCCATATCTGCACATGCTAAGCCTTGGGGGTGACGGGGACCCCAGGGATGGCTCAGCTGGGAATCTCAGGTTCCATGCTTCCCACCGAGACTCTTGAGTCCTAGTGGAGGAAGGAGGCTCGAGGAGGAAATGGAACCAGAAGGAGACCAGACAGCGGTGTAGGAAAGCCTCTAGGGCAGGGTCCCCCTTTTTAGGAAAAACGCTGGGGACCACCCTGGGTCAGTTCCAGCCCTACCGTGGCATTGATGGCGAAGGCCCGCTCCCGGTTGCCTGCAGTGATGTTAAAGGTGAGGAGGGCATTGCACCCGCTGTCAGCGTCGCTGGCCAGGATGTGGGCGACGAAGCTGGAGACGGGGCTGTTCTCACTGATGGTCACGTTCATGGGGAGGTTCAGCAGCACAGGGTCATTGTCATTGATGTCCAGCACCCGAATCCCCACCAGCATCTGGGGCGCGTCAGGGGAGGAGGAGAGGAAGAAGAGGTGACCGACAGCAGAAGTGGGGGTGTGAGGAGACAGAGAGGAGAGAGAGGGAGAAAGGGATGGTGGACATGGTAGCCAAGGAGCAGGCGAGGAGTGAGGCAGGGCAGGAGAGCGAAGGGGTGGTGAGGGAGGAAGGAAGGTGCAGTTGAGGACCATGGAGAAGACAGAGGAGGAGGAAGAAGAAAATGATAATGAACAAGGCAAGGAGATGAAAATGAGGGTAAGAGGAAAGCAGAGAAGGTAGAGGCAGAGGCGAGCTGAAAGTGGCAATGGCAGGGGCAGAGGCCCGCTCACAAGGCGGCCTCCCCAGAGAGCTGCTGGGGGGAGACAACTTGCAGTGGCCATGGCTGCTGGGCCCCAGGTCCAGCCCCCCTGGGCGAGCCCCAAGATCCACTCACAAGTCTGTTAGGGGCCCTGAGAGCACGTGGCCTCTCTGGGCTTGGAGACAGGAGTCTCCATGGAGAGTTCAGGGGGCAGCAAGGTAAAGCCAGTAGAATGGGGGCCCCAGACTCACCGTGGAACTGAGTGGGGGCACCCCCCTGTCTCGAGCACAGATGGTCAGGTTATAGAAGGCAATGGTTTCCCGGTCCAGCTCCACATCCTTCCGGACCCGCAGCACACCCTCCACAGGAGAGATCAAAAACTCCCCTGGGTGCCACCCAGGAGAGGCCAGAGTGAGCCGGGATTGGTCAAGAGTGGCGGAGAGCCCAGGCCTGTCCTGCTTCCTCTAGCAATGCCCCAGCTTCGGATCCTCCTGGGACCTGCCAAGGTCTGGCAAGTTCAGGTTCAGGAGGGAGGGGGACAGATAACTGCTGGGTGCAGGTGGGTCTGGGCCCGCTCATGCCCTGATGTGCCTGAGAGGCCAGGCCAGTTTCCTTCCTGGCTCATGGGCAGGCCAGGGACTAACTCTGGATAAAATGGTCACATTGAACAAATGGGCTTCAGTAAGGTTGCAGGATACAAAATCAATAGACAAAAATCTGTTGTGTTTCTATATACTAGTGATGAGCTATCAAAAAGAGAAATTAAGAAAATAATCACATTTATAATTGCATCAAGAGAATAAAATTACCTATAAGTAAATTTAACCAAGGAGGTGAAAGACCTATACTTGAAAACTATAAGACTTAATGAAAGAAATTGAAGATATAAATAATTGAAAAATATCCTGTGTTCATGGATGAGAAGTATTTATATTGTTAAAACATCCATACTACCCAAAGCAACCTACAGATTCAATGCAATCCTTATAAAAAATTCCAATGGCATTTTCCACAGAAATAGAATAGACAACACTAAAATTTGTATGGAACCTCAAAAAGTAATTCTGAGAAAGAACAAAGCTGGAGGCATCATGTTCCCTGATTTCAAACTATATTACAAAGCTATAGTAATCAAAACAGTATGGTTTGCGCATAAAAACAGACATAGATCACAGAACTGAACCGAGAGCCCAGAAATAAACTCACACAGGCATGGCCAATTAATTTATGACAAAGGAATGAGAATATATAATGAAGAAAGAACAATCAATGGTGCTGGGAAAACAGGACAGCCACCTGCACAAGAATGAAATGAAACCACTAGGTTGCACCTTACACGAAAATTAACCCAAAATGGATTAAAGGCTTGAATGTAAGACCTGACACCATAAAACTCCTAGAAGAAAACATAGACAATAAGCTCCTTGACATTGGTCTTGACAAGGAATTTTTGTATTTGACACCAAAAGCAAAGGCAACAAAAGCAAGAATAAACCAGTGGGACCACATCAAACTAAAAAGCTTCTGCACAGCAAAGGAAGCCATCACAATGGAAAGGTAACCTACTGGATGAGAGAAAAATCTTTGCAAATCATATATGTGGTAAGGGGTTAACACCCAAAATACATAAAGAACTTATTCAACACAAGCACAAACAACAAAAACAAAACAGAAAATGAAACGGGAATCCGGAGAAAGGTGATGACTTATCTAAGCTCTCCCAGCAAGTTAACAACAGACCAGGATTCCAACCCAGGGCTCCGGGTCTCAGCTCACTGCATCCCATGGGACTTGGAGTCTTTCCAGACAGTCAGGGCTGAGCCAGGTGGGAGGTGGGGAGGGAGGGTGAGAGCAGGGAGTGGGAACAGGAATAGAGCAGAGGGGCAGGTGGGAGCCCGGCTGAATAGACGAAAGGGGAGGGACAGTGAGTCTGAGAGGTGGGGAGAGCGTGAGGAAGAGGGGTTATCTGTGTGAACTCCTCCAGGAACCGGTGACAGGGAGGGTTACTTCCTTCGCTTTCCCTTTGGTACCTGGGCAGAGTGGGGCACTGACTGCTCAGGAACACGCAGCACAGGAGGGCACAGCAAGGACAGAGGCCCAGGCTCTCCCACAGTTCCCTCTGCCTGCCCCTTCTCATCCTCCCTCACCATTCCCTGCCCCCAGCTCCTATTGCTCTGATGTAAAAAACAGCCTCCTCAAGGCTCACCTGCAGCTGGGATTTCCCGCCAGGTCTTCTGCTCCCAGCAGCCTTTTAGACTGCGTGCAGCAGGATTTCCTGAGCCCGATACTCCACGGTCTCCAAGAACTGAGGATTCCCTTCTAGGGGTTTCCGGGCCCTGTCTCAGCCCTTGCCCATGTGCAAGCAGATGGCCCCCTGCCCTCTCTCCAAAGCCAGCCACCCCTTGAAAGAAGGGAAGGAAGAGGTTCTGAAGGCTCAGGGGGCAGGCCTGAGGCTCTGGGAGCTGGGCCCAGGCTAGATTCCTAATAAGTCAGCTCACTGCGGGAAGTAAATAGGCTAAAGGCCCCTGGACAGTAGATCATCCTCCTTATCCCCGGGGCCTGAACTCCCTGCCGCTCCACTCCTTCCGGAGTTGGAGGTTAAAAGCAGAGACTCACCACCTAGTCATACACAGATCTGCATCCTGATTTCATTCCTGTGCTCTTGGCTATGTTACCGAGTCCTGCCTTGATGTTCTCATCTGAGAAATGGGCTAATGAAGAGGTGCCACCACAGGTTATTCTGCTGCTGGACAAGTCTATTCCATGTGTGTGCTAGGTCCATGGCAGCCCTGGGTACCACTAGGGGCATTCTGAAAGGCAGCCTAGGCATCCTGCTCAAGGAACTGGGGGCTTCAGCGGAGGATGGAGATGTAAGAAAGGGGTCTCAGGAGTGGGTCTGACCAGAAGGGTTAGCTGAGAAGGTTGGGGTTGGCAGGAGAGGCTCAAGTAGGCGTGGCCTATTCCCCAGCTGTTTTCCTCCTCACGCCTCAGGGGGGCTTGCACCAGCGTGTCATCCCGATGTCTGTCGCCCCACTGACAGGAGCACCCTCCAGGCTCAGGCTGCAATGGGGGAAAAGGTGACTTTGGGCTGTGTAGCCTGGAGCATGTCCCTTCACCTGTGGTGTGTCCCTACACCCGCTCTCCCAGAAAACAGCTCTGATTTATAGTGTTTGTCAATTTTTCCAGTTACCAACATGGTGTCACTAAACCCAGAGGGGAGGCGGGAAGAGATGTGGGGAAAGGCTAGCATGACCTCGTGAGCACACCCTTAGCTCATCGCTTATCTCTTCTGACATGGGGCAGCCTGAGGTTATCGCTGGGCTCTGAATGTCTGCTCTTCCTTCCTGGGGGGAGGGAGCCAGGCTACTCAGACCAGGGAAAGTCCCCGGCCTCTCTCCCTCTGCCCGGGACCTGCCTCTCAGGCTTCTGGGACACGCAGGAGACCCCAACTTCCGAAGGCTGACCCTGGTCACATGCGGACTTTGCTCATGACACCAAGGGCCCATGGCATGGATCAGAACACAGTTTTCTGGGGCACAGGTATGCCCTGCACCCCAAAGCTGGGTGCAGAGAGGGCCTTATTGGGAGGGGGCTCAGCTGCCCACCCAACACCCCCCTCTCAACTGGGCTTTGGCATCCTCCTGACCAGGAGCAGGACCCCCATGAAATTATAAAACCTCTCTGTTTGTGAAAACAGCAGAGGAAGACCCTTGCTCAGTCCTTGGCCAGAGAGGAGACTTTTGGGAGATGAAAGGTAGCAGGCATGTCAGAACTGTGACCCATGGGCTCTGGACAACAAGGGCCCAGGTCTGGTCTTATAGAGTGAGTTTGTTTCTTTGCCTCTTTTTTTTTTAATTCTCACCCAAGGATTTTCATGGATTTTCAGAGAGAGTAGAAGAAGGGAGGGAGGGAGGGAGTGTGTGTGTGTGTGTGTGTGAGAGAGAGAGAGCCGAAGGCTGACCCTGGTCACATGCGGACTTTGCTCATGACACCAAGGGCCCATGACATGGATCAGGACACAGTTTTCTGGGGCACAGGTATGCCCTGCACCCCAAAGCTGGGTGCAGAGAGGGCCTTATTGGGAGGGGGCTCAGCTGCCCACCCAACACCCCCCTCTCAACTGGGCTTTGGCATCCTCCTGACCAGGAGCAGGACCCCCATGAAATTATAAAACCTCTGTGTCTGTGAAAACGGCAGAGGAAGACCCTTGCTCAGTCCCTGGCCAGAGAGGAGACTTTTGGGAGATGAAAGGTGGCAGGCATGTCAGAACTGTGACCCACGGGCTCTGGACAACAGGGGGCCCAGGTCTGGTCTAATAGAGTGAGTTTGTTTCTTTGCCTCTTTTTTTTTTTAATTCTCACCCAAGGATTTTCAGAGAGAGTAGAAGAAGGGAGGGAGGGAGTGTGTGTGTGTGTGTGTGTGTGAGAGAGAGAGAGAGAGAGAGAGAGAGAGATGTGAGAGAGA